TATATATATATATACACACACACACACACACACACACACACACACACACACACACACACACACACACACAAATTTCTGGAAATGTATTTATCAATAACTTAAAGTTAAGAATTATCGGCACTAAATTTCTGGAAATTAACATCAAACGTTAGGAATATCGGACAGGAACTGATCTGTTTCAAGGGACGTTCTGTATGATATGCACGTTATGCATGTAGTCTGGAACTGATCTGTTTCAAGGGACGTTCTGTATGATATGCAACGTTATGCATGTAGTCTGGAATTGATCTGTTTCAAGGGACGTTCTGTATGATATGCACGTTATGCATGTAGTCTGGAACTGATCTGTTTCAAGGGACATTCTGTATGATATGCAACGTTATGCATGTAGTCTGGAACTGATCTGTTTCAAGGGACATTCTGTATGATATGCATGTAGTCTGGAACTGATCTGTTTCAAGGGACATTTTGTATGATATGCATGTATATATTATAAATTTACATACTTCAACAATTTACTAAGTATTATCATTAGTACTTGCTTTGAGTAGAAGATAATATTAATAAACCATGATTTGTTTATAACCTAAAAAATCGTGTAGAATTTGATATCCTGATAATTCGCCTCACTGATTTACTTTTTATCCACAGATTAATGGACACCGTGTGCCTATTGAAATCTGTCTGTTACGAAAAGTGAATAATCTGAACGGAGTTATTAGACTGCTGGACTGGTACGAACGGTATGATTCCTTCTACATAATTATGGAAAGGGCCGAGAGCGTGCAGGATTTGTTTGACTTCATCACAGAGCGTGGTGTTCTCGACGAAAAATTATCCCGCTTGTTTTTTCGGCAGGTAGTCGAAACTGTGGTAGCATGCCATGATGCAAGTGTTATTCACCGGGATATCAAAGATGAAAATATTCTAGTTGACCTTAAGTCATTCTCTTTAAAGTTGATAGACTTTGGATCTGGAGCGTATCTAAAGGAAACTGCTTATACCGACTTTGACGGTAAGTTCTTGAATGTATTTGGTTTTAATTACAAACCAACGCTGTTTGAGAGGCGTATGCTGTAGCCTTAATATTCTAGGTTATCAAATATAGTGAATATTGGCTTGTAATACGATCACAAAAACGTGTTTGTAGTATATAATAATGTAATTATGCCTCAACACTGTTTTAAACGGAGAGGGTAAGAAATAATTCGCCTTCTGGCAAGTATTCCAACTACAGCTATTGCTAATCTTCTGGGAGTGGGGGCGGTACACTCTCCCACAGTGGTTGTTTACTTAATCGTAGATCTTTGACCTCGAGTATCTTGCAGGGCAACAAAGTACATAATGCATGACTGCGTGGCACGTTTCTTGTAACTATTATTGTTTATAAGACTGTTATAAGCTTTTAAAAAGCGATGCATTGTTCATATACCAGCCGTTGTACTAGTATTATTTAATGATAATGTGAATAGTGAATAAATCTCAATATGGGTATTATTCTAATTCAGAACTCCCTTCTTTTATGTCAAATATCATATTTTAGAGCGCTTTGGCTTTGGACCATATTTTAAAATAAGGTTTTTATTATATGACCTTGTCTTGCAAGGTCGTACAATAAAACTCGCCCTGCCATTTTAACTAAAACGTTACTCAACGGTAAACGTTGATGTTCTTGGCAATTTGCCAAGCAGAGCCTAGGAACTAAATTGTCTAGGCTAGTGAAGATCGATAATTTTGTACTGAATGTTCCATTTCTCTTTCGCGCGTCGAACCTGTATGTCGCTAAAGTGGTTTCAATCAATGCGTAGTAGTGGTAGTGAGTCCTGGACACAACCACGTGGGCAACTTCTTTTTTTATGCCCAAGTTTATGCCTGTTTAGTGCATTTCTCTTGAGGTCGTTGTCTCGGCTGTCTGCACACCTGAAATCCCGAAAGAACTGGTCACTCAACCCATTAGTATCGGCTTGCTTCACTTGAGGGGCCTACATTCCTTTGCTACAGAAACGCAGGTAAATAAGACGTACAAGAGTGCTAATGGTCTTATCGGTTTGCTGACGTCGATAGCGTTTTGTAATGTAGGTCAGGTCATACGTATGTAGTTGTAGTTAAATCCTAAAACTGCAATTACAGAAACTAGTTTTGCTTGTTTTTTTGTTTAATTTGTGCGTGTGTGTATTTTGATGATATATTCTGTATAATGATAATAAAGTACTAATTGTGAACGCTTTTAATAATTTAGTGGCTATGGATTGACTTTGTAAAGTTTTACGAAAATTAAACCGCGCACTATTTTTTCACCACCGTTTTAAATGTTTAGGATATGTAACTTTAGAAACTTATCGTATTCTGCCGTTTTTTAATCTTAGGTACCCGTGTCTACAGTCCACCAGAGTGGATTCGTAGTAATCGTTACTATGGATCTAGCGCAACAGTCTGGTCATTAGGGATCTTGTTGTACGATATGGTTTGTGGGGATATACCCTTTCAACATGATGAACAGATTCTCAGGGCAGAAATCTCCTTCCGGAGAAGATTATCACAAGGTGAGTGTCATCGCTTTCACCTGCACACGAAAAAAAAACATGAAACGGGCAACAAAAAGTTTTTATATAACAAGTTTGAGTTGGTGGCATATTGTAGTGGCCGCCTTAATCGTTTTGTTACTTGTGGAGTCTTGTAAAATTGGCATTTTTTTGTTTTGACAAGTGACGTGGTTGGATGGGTGTGTGTGTATCTTACGTTTATTAAAACGCTAAACTTAATTCACCTTAACTTTTATATGTTGCAGAATGTCAAAACCTTATCAGGAAATGTTTGTCACTCCATCCTTCTGATCGGCCATCTTTAGAAGAAATCCTAGCACATCCCTGGATGTCGGCGAAGCTAGAAAGTACCACATCATCTCAAATTCCAGTCAGGCGAAACTCTGTTGACCAACACTCTCTTGACCAGGCGTCCACTAGCAGCGACGATAGTATTTGATGATTGGTCATTTTGTAGCATCTGAAAAAAAGTACTTTGTTCCTAACGGCACGACTATGTTGGGTCGTGTAAGAAAGATGTCCATTATAATCAGTCATCTGTACTGTGCGAGAACATCGTGACATTTCTTCTTTCACTGGATTATTTATTCTGCTGCCGTGTTTGATTTATTTTAAAGTCAAAGGAAGAGATTTTTTTTAATGGCCTTCCAGTCTTCAAAACTTTGCATTCCTGATAGCAAACAAGTTTGTTAGAACAATAAGCAATCAATGCAATGTAAATACTTCATACAGAGAAGCATGTTTTATTGTTTTCTTTTCTAAGCACGGGCCCAAATTTTCCTTCCTCTCAATATCAGCTTATAAAGAATTCAAATTCTACGTTTATTTTTCTGTATTTAATGATTTGAGTGTAGTGTTCAGTGACGTACGGTGACGAATGAGCTGTAAATTCTTCAGCAAAGTGTGTATTATTTATTCTCTTCATTGTATATAAGTTGGTCGAATTTTGGCCCCACATTGCGTTTGTATATTTGTTCCTAAATTATTTGATCAATGGGTCTGTTCCTTGAATACATTTCAGTTATATTAACAGTACTAATTACGGTAGTCTTTAAATTTGGCCAGTGAAACTTCATCATTGTGTATAATTTGTGAGTTCTGAAGGATATTTTTTATATAAAAATAGTTGTTTGATTAAACTGTATCTTTTGGCTTCTTTCATCCTCTCCACGATACACAAGTGGTGATAAGCAGCTATATATGTGTCAGTAGACGAGCTCCTTGAATACTCGACTTTCATATTACAGTTAACTGTTTATCCACCTCTTCACATAACTGTTTCAAATTTGATTTAATGATCCTAAGAATGAGTGGGCAAGCATTACATCACTGCTAAACTGAAATACTTCCTGGTTGTATACCAACAGAGAACTTTACTTGTGTGAGGGGGGGGGGGCATTCTCTATCAACAGTGTTCCACCACCACGCTGCTTTCTGAATACTGTCTACACAAGTTGTTTGAAAATGTTTGCATATTGGGCTACAACCTGACACGACGGTTGTTTTTATTCATACCTAAACCATTTGCAGTGAATGTAATAAACAATGAAGGCTCGTAATATCAGTAAGATATTATTACTATGAAGTTAAATGTATATAATGATACAGCTAGGTGTGATTAAACTCTGTTAACGTGTTACGCTAACGAAATATTGACTGTACTAATGAATCGTTATGTTACGCTCGAGTCACTTTCACATTTTCGGAAATATGCCCAGTGAGCAGCCCAACAGATACTCGTCTCCCCCATCCTAAAATAATAGATAAAGGAACATCATGCGTAGTGGAATGCACCTGAGTCACATCCAAATAAATACCTAGAACAGACTGAATCGCGTAAAGTGTGTGTTAAATCACCTAGATTAAATAAGTTAAACAAGATTACAGGCATTATCCTTATTTGTGTGGGTATTAAGATATCCAAGCATACAAAACAAAGATAACACATTCCATTTTTTTACATTCTGCATAGTTTTAAATAAAGTCTGATTTCACTTATTCTACATATCAGTTCGAAGTAGCTTCAAATCGTTTTACTCTGGAATGATATACAGAGGTTGAATTTCACGCACATAGCGAATTTTTTGGTATTTGACTTGTATTGATACGGAAGATTGCTTATGTATGCTTTAACATGGAATTTAACCTTCACTAAGTCGTTCAAAGTCCAAGTCAGTCACACAGTACTTACGTAGCGTGGTACCTTGTACAGTGATGAACATCCTTCAAGAACTACGAAGTTAATCAATGAACAGGATATTCGGCTTGTTGTCAGAGTATCGGGGTTATAAACAATTACACAAACTATATTATTTCTTAGAATAGGTTGGACGGAACTTAGTGGTTAGCGTGTTCAGACTGAGCATTCAAGATTTATGTGTCATTGTCAAACCTCTCTTCGCCAGTCGGTTCAAAACACGAGTTTGTGTTGTGACTATCTGCCTTTCCTCTAGTCTGTCGGTTCAAAATTATAAGTAGCTATGCCTAATTATCCAACAATGTTGTGAATAAATCAGTCGAGTTGCACTTAGAATTTAAGTAAAGTTAGTTTGATTTTTTTTATAATAGATGGTAACTCTTTTAAGTTGTGAGCATACGGTGAAAATACGCTCTTCACGTTAGTTTTCCAAACAATCTTTCATATCATTCATCGTAAACATACACGAGTTTGTTTTTCTTTGTTCATGAGTAACTGAGAAAGAACTGCTGAGATCACAACTATATTTACTGGAAACGAAGTATAAATACAACGGTTTAGCTGTGCTTGAAATTATACACACGTCATAACACTAAAATGTATTTAATCTAGATAACATGTCACCAAGTATATTTCAACGGTTTGTACCAAATACTTGAATCAATCGTTCTTCCCTACTGAAAGTATTCTTTACAGTAACTCTGCTATTTACATGTGTGGTATCAAATGTTATAACGTCTTAACACTAAAATGTATTTAATCTAGATAACATGTCACCAAGTATATTTCAACGGTTTGTACCAAATACTTGAATCAACCGTTCTTCCTTACTGAAAGTATTCTTTACAGTAACTCTGCTATTTACATGTGTGGTATCAAATGTTAGATCGGGCGTCCGTATTTACCGATTTATGAGTTCGATTACTGCAATATTTCATAATTGTCATATATGTATGTGTGTTTGGCTGAACTGACCCAATATCCTCATTATTTAAGCTTCCAACTAACCAAAACACAAATAGTGTAATATGTTAACGGTTTCCCCAAGTTGGTCATGTTTATACCTAATGTGAATGGAAATAATTATAATTAGACTAATACACATTATTTTTTTGAAAAAAATAACCAAACTTTTCAACTTCATGTGATAGAAATAATTATATTTGTTCGGTTCCTTGGGTAACACTCTGTTCACACTTCCACAGCAAGAAACGTTCACATCATAACACATATATAGTAAAAACATTTACAGAAATAATTATATTTGTTCGGTCCCTTGGGATTTTTCCGAAAAGAAGAGTGTGTAACACTCTGTTCACACTTCCACAGCAAGAAACGTTCACATCATAACACATATATAGAAAAAACATTTCCAGAAATAATATTTAAAACAGTTATGTTTGTCATAAGAAAAAGTAGTGTGCTTACTGTATTTTTTAAATGATATTTAAAACAGTTATATTTCTCATGAGAAAAAGTAGTGAATTTTTAAATACTACTTTTTCCATTCGGTCCCTTGGGCTTTTTTCCGAGAAGAAAAGTGTATAAGAAATAGTATAAAAACAACGAATGTTATTGCCATCTACAACTGATAAGTTTTCCTATGGTATATAACGTCTGTGTAGTCATACCGTCATGAATGGATGGTAACTTTTGTGATATTACGTCACAGTAAGGCTGATAGTAATCTCTACCAAATCTTTATTTACTCGTAATGGTGTTATATTCTTCCATCTACAACTGATAAGTTTTCCTATGGTATATAACGTCTGTGTAGTCATACCGTCATGAATGGATGGTAACTTTTGTGATATTACGTCACAGTAAGGCTGATAGTAATCTCTACCAAATCTTTATTTCTGGTGTTATATTCTTCCTACTGGGAAATCGTAAATGTCTGTTAAGAATATTGCTTCAGCCATGTCGTACGGTCAGTTTTCAACTTCCTTCAGACACGGAAGTAAATATTAGTTTGTGCGAAGAAAGAAGGAACTTGGTTTGTTTATAATATTTACGTATAATCGATATCACTAACCTATTCAAAAACATACTGCCAGTTGTAAATGTCATAATTTACACGACCTACCACTAGGTGTAAAATTCTACACACTGAATGCTTAAGAACCAACATTCCTCGAGTCTATCTATACCATTTTCATCGGGAGGAAGCCAACTTCCTGAAAAAGCGAAATGTCGAGATATTTGCAATGAAATGAAGAATGTTTTTCTTACCATTAAATAGGTGTACAATGAAAAAAAGAAAGAAGTGATTTTACATAAGTTCGGGTAATGTAATCAAGAGAGTTGAGTTGAAAAGAAAGGGAATTAGTTGTATTCCAAATTAGCTCGTATAAATGAAACGCCTTATTCCTGTTACATTGAAGATGGAACATAGTCTAAGTTTTGGGGGTAAAAACCCCATACAATAACCGTTCTGGTATAATGATTAAAACGTTTTAAGAATCGGACAAATATGGAATAATTTATTCACGTATTATAATGAACAACGCATTTACGTTACTGAATATACTGCAATCGGTTTTTAAAACTATACATTTTATCAATGAAAGTGGAACACTCTGTTAATACTGTTGAAAATAATGGAATATGTGCTTCAATATCAAGAAGGATTGGTTTTAGTAATTGGTCCACCACGCCCCAACTGGAATATCTTAACCATAAAATTAATGATTTTTCAATACCTCAAAACTAATAACAATTTAAAGCTAAAAACTAAGCACAGTGTACACAATTCCGGAAAACTTACTACCACAATTTTATGAAATTTGTGGGGCAAGTAACCATAATTGTAATAAAATATTTATATTGATTGTCTTTTCACATTTCTGCAAATAAACAGTCGTGTTTAAACCTTTCTGTCAAAAGCGATTTAAACCCGATACTTCAAATAATGGCATATCACAAGTAGTTACATGATTTATACAAAGGAACAAAAAGAGGAAATCCTGAAGAATTGGATTTTAAACGTTAAAACGATTTAAACCTTGTTCCTTTGTATAAATCATGTAACTACTTGTGATATGCCATTATTTGAAGTATCGAAGAGGAAATCCTGAAGAATTGGATTTTGAACGTTAAAACGCAGGAGCTTTTCTGCTAGATCTTGATACTTCGGATGTTTTAGTTAATATGCATATTCTGTATCTTGTCACACGTTTCAGTTTTTAAATCTTAAAACTCAAGTTTATTAAGAAATTTACATAGAAGATTGGATACAACTGTGTTGGTTAGAAACGCTAAGGATTACATTAGAATTTACCTTAAAAATGTAGTTGCTAATTTGTGCCTAAACATTTGAAGGATAATAAATAGAGGAACCTAAAGAAACGTCATGACAATTCCAATAACCCTATGCCACAGGGAGTGTTAAAAGATGCTACGACCATTATGGGTTGTATGAGAACAAGTTTCTAACTCTTAGTACTCTTGTCTGCGTCACTCGGCTCTCTGTGTTCGTCCAATGTTCACTAGACAATAACAAAATACAGACGACCTCGAAGTGTTATTGATCAGTTTCCCTTATCACGTGACATTTCTTTCAGACGTCGTGTTGGTTCTGTCCGTACTAGGCACTTTTTTCCCCTAATTTTATCTCTGTAGTGACTAGGAAAGAGACACGGCACTAGTCCTATATTATATGTAGATTTGAGTCAATTCCCGAAGGTGTCTTAATCTACTAGTGTTGGGTGGATTGATACTGATTCCC